GTTGGTTCAAAGACTAGAAGTCCCTATTTTTCTTCCAACCTCTCAGATGAATGCACTCTTTATGGCTATTTGCTTTAAGTCCCAATTCTTCCTTTATTTTCAAACCGTTTTTTTCATTTAAAAATTTAGTATTTCGATTGGGAAGGTGAGTAGTCTTCCATCAAGATCCAGTACCTTGCAGCACCTTGCGCGAGTAGAACAGTAGATAAATTTTATTAATTTCTATTTCCAGATTGGCGTAATTTTGCAATTTTCTCCTTGAGACCAACAATATTCTTAGAAATGAAAAGCAGGTTTTAGGCAACAAAGAGTAAATATCCAACAAGTAGCCACCTTCTCCCAACATATTATAGATGCCCTTGATGCAAGAAATAATCTTAAGGCATCGAGAGGTATAAAGCATAACATACTAAACTTAGTAAAAGCATTCATTGGACAAAGATCATGTAAAGTCAGATGGCATTCATTGGACAAAGATCGTGTAAAGTCAGATACGGACCTCAATCAAAATCCAATCTTTTACAAACAGGCCGTCCACAGGGAACAAAGATCATGTAAAGTCAGATATGGAAATGCTCTGTCAAATAAAGTCCTTCACAAACAAGCCTTCCACAGGGTGTTGTTACAAGCTGTATTCTTTTCTATGTCTTCATCAATGACATAGTTGAAATAGTACAGACAGTCACGGGCATCAGGTGCATAGTTTATACAGATGTTCTTCTTCTATGGTATTCCACTTCTAAGAAAAACGCTCAAGAGAGGACGGAAAGCGTCCTAATTTAAGCACTTAAACTACTAGCAAACTAGTGCGACAACAATGGAACGGTTGCCAACACCGCGAAAACTGGATTTCAAACATTTTCAGCATAAACCCTCATTTAAGGCACAAGGATGCTACCCCAGAAACAATCAACGCGTTCACTTATCTCGGAATGACGTCTGAGACAAAGCTAATTCTTTTGTGCTCACAGCGAAAAATAGGATAAATTAGAAATAGAGAGCCACCCAAACAGCTGAGATATACGAATGTAAAAAAACTGTATCAGCTGCTGAGAGAAAAACAAAACAGTAGTCCTACAATGGACTCCTTGTAACTGAGGGATTTAAGGCAATGAACATGCTGACGCACTTGCTAAGATGGGACAACGATTTTGCAAGTCATAGACCAGCCGATGTCTTTCTCCATAAGTAAGACATTGATCAGGAGAGAATTCAAAACCTCAATGTGCAATGAACTCAAAGCTCGAACAAAGGCGAAATAGTGGACAGCGACGCTCTCCGATATAGCCGACTGGCCAAGAATTGAAGCCGTTGCTGAGTTTAGACTACGTACCGGACACGATTCTGGCCTCACAAATTGGGATTATACACTCAACCCACATGCCCTCCATGTAACTATTGGGAGCATATACTTCACCCACATGCCCCCAATGTAACCTAGAGGAGGAAATAGGAAGACCCACCTGATTCGGTGTCTAGCAACGACAGAAACCCAGAGATATTGGGAAGCCAGAAGACAAATAATGAACGACTATTGATTTACTGCTTTAGATGCACCCACCCCCTCCTCCCATAGTGAAAGCTGAAGTTAAATAAGGAGCTAATGATAAAAATCATAAAGCCTGCTATTTGAGATAAAAAGAAGAGACATCAAATTGACTGAAAAGCTTCACTTAGGAATTTATTCATGTCCCCTGCCGACCTCTATTTGATAAAGACATCGCGATTGTTTTTATTGAATGTGGTCTGCACTTGCCAACATGGCATCAATCGCAGAGTTTGGTTGCAATACATGAGAAATGTTTGTTTTCCCTCATCACTAAGAAAGCCATGTTATCTACTAAGGCAACCCGAGCTGTGATTACTGAATTGCCTTGATATTCCATCCTCGAGACCTAGTCATAGGTTGCGCCTTGTTGGAATGGAGAAGATGAGTGGGAATTGCGTCTCTTCGAGGGGTGCAGAAGACGTTGAGAACATGTAAAGGAATCTTGTCTCCTTCAAATTGTCAGACGTAATCGTTATGAAAAGAATACGTTAGAGGAGTGTTTGAGGGTTTTCAAAAGTGTTATTAGCCGAGCTGATCTATTAAGTCAGTCTTTCCTTTTCCACGGTTATCCTACTAGTTTCTGTCTGGTTGAGTTAAATAAGCAAAATGTGCGTTGATACTGGTTGGGAAACGTGTAAGATCCAAATATGCCAATGTGATATCGAGAAATCATTAGACAAGATTAAAAGCAAGTCAAAACCCATTGCCAATGCTATTGCTAATTTGAACACGTATACGGGCATCACAATTAATTTCAACAATTTTGTATGTGACTTTGTGATAGGTTCGAATATACTCGAATATATCACCTTCAATGGGCTTGATAGGGAAGCTTTGATTTAGTCTCACTGTTACTTAGATTAATCTTGCTATCCCAAAGCGATGACGCATGTAGATCAGTGTGTCACAATTCGAATTGTGGTAAAGGTTGTCCTAGTAAAATGAGGTAAAACAGTGTATGGTTTGTTTAGGGTGTTTAAACATTAGCACTTTTAGAAAATAAGCATCTATTTGGGCTGGTTGAGTGAAAAGGGCTTTTGTACTAGTCAAGTGAAGGCAGTGGAAAAATCAGAAAACTCAAAATCAGGGATTTCGAGTTGTTCACTAGTTTGTGTTCAAGTTTCCTACTCAGAAATAAGTGCAGATAATCGCTTTCGGCGATGGTTAATTGTGGCCAGGTGTGAGGATTTGAGTTTCACAACATTAGTGGTTCTGAATACTATATGTCTTCACGCCAGCCAAGTGGAATGGTAACTTTACCACGAATTTCATGGGGATTCTTCCAAGAGATTAATTTTGGTGAGAATTGATGCATTTTGACTCTCGCAAGACCACCAATATTTGCCTTGTTCACGGTTGACAAATTCACGTTGGTCGTATTATCAGTCTGATTTGATGAATTGGTGAGAGGAAAAGTGACTTAAAACTTAAGATTGATTGTCAGTGGAATTGAGGATTAGCGAGCTTCGGAAAACATTTGCACAGTTGTGCTACTCAAAATTCATCTTTGGTCTCTCAAACCCCAANCCCCCACCCCCCCCCCCCCCCCCACCCCCCAGCATCTGTCACTTGTGGTCTGGTAACAAAGTACACTAACAATGAGAACCTTAGATAACAAGATCACGTCAGCACAAACTCGACAGTCCCTAAGTTTAAAAATCAATAGTATATTCGCAATACGGGACCCGCATAACTATAGAAGTTGGCCATCCTACGTCTTCGATGGTTGGACTATTAACCTGATGAGACATTGATGTTTGCGTGCAATTTTGGACTTGAAGATTAAGAGCTCGAAGATTCGATGAGAATGTTTGTTAATTTTTCTCGTCTGTTTTGAACATTTATTTTTTTATTTATATCAAATGGCAGGCGTTCTGATAGTTATCATTAGCCCTTTAGTTGACTTCAGGCCTGACAGAGGGGAAGGAACATCAAAGTGGAAAAAAGTCGAGAGGGGAGAGGAACAGAAGAGTGCTTTAAAGACGAAGGTAGAAAAAAGGTGAGGTGTGTACTGTGAAAGTAGTCGAATATAACATAAAATGGGGTGATGGTAGTTTGAAGTCAGAACTGCCAGTTAATAGATTTTTTTGCCGTATGAATATACGTTGGCCAGGGTGCACCACCTGGAGGTAAGTCTATCGCACACCCCCCGTTTCGAACATAATATGTGGTCTGTGAAATCAAAGGGTACCATCGAAGTACGATTTGGAGAGGTGTGTGGCTTGCAGTGTAGGGTTATCTAGGAGAGGGGTGGGAAAGAATATGGGATTTGAAATTGAGAGATTCTGGTGAGGAAATCGGCCTTGACAGTGCATTATCCATAAGACATTCATTTCGAAAATAATAAGCATTGCTTATAAAGCCATAAATTTCGAATAAAGCCAACTATATAAACACTTGGCATGAATCGAGCGAATTTGAATTCTATCAGCTTTGACTTACTTGATCGGTCAAATGAGGAGGGAGGGGTTTAAAGGGCTATAAGCATGTGTGTGTGCCTTTGGCATTTGAAGCAGAAGTCTCCAACTGTGGTCCAATTCAACTTCTTATCTTCACATTCGGTTGCATCGCGTTGCCTTATTTGCTAAAACATCACTTCTATAAGAAGTCTCTCTCTCACTTTCTCTCAAATCTATTGATTTAGAGGTGGTGCATCGTGATGCTCTATGGCAAACTCATTACTTCTATTAGTTAAGTATTGTTATTAACTGCCAATAAAAATGCCGTTAGACACGTGATATTCGTTGCTTGTTACTATAAAGCTTATATAAAAACCCATTTAAATTTGACAATCATTGACATCTCTTCAATAAAGTGCAAACACCCATCGATTGGAGATTTTTTTCCAAGTTGATGTGACAATAAAGAGATCTCACCAATATTGTGCAAGTTACAATCAATTTGGCCTGTGTTGGCAAAGTCTAACACTGATACGACAAGGCAGAAATGAACCACCAATTAATAAACGAATGATGTTGGATGTACGCACAAGAGAATAGGGGCCATTTCATAGTCGGAACTTGATTCCTCAGTTATCTGGTCATAAGTTTGGGGAACTGGACTCAAAGTACTCATCGATTAATTATTGTAAAGTAAAGATTGTCTAAGTGCAAATCAATACTCTTCTTCCGTGAATGAGACGGTGGATAATTTTTATTATTTTCAATTTCTGGATTGAAATGATTCCGTAATATTGAGTCAAATGAGCAAGGTAAAGCAAGAAGTGCTGTTTAAAAGTGAAAGTTGGATTTGTTGCTCTGTTGGTACAACTCCCCCACATTCAAATACTGACTAGAATGTAAGCCTGTTGAGACAGTAATCAGAAGTACTTGAGTTGCGGAAAAGAGAATTGGATATGTCTCTGAGTTTCGGATGTTGCAGTTGAAAGGAGAGTGAATTGGAGAATCAGGTATGAGAGAGACGAAGTAAGAATGATTTCCGGGTGGTAGATATGAGTTCTAGTGGACTAGAATGGTTCGCCTAAAATTCTTCTCTTACAGTCTGTCAACCTTCAGTTGATTTGGATAGGTGACGTTACCTCTGTGAAGATTTGTGCTGCATTGAATAATAGTCTACTTCTGAGGTGGTTAACACTGAACTTCAGACTGGTGTTAATAAACAAAGTTCTTGCCACTTCATATTTTACGAAACTCTTGAAGATGTAAATCTGAAATGCTCGTTTGCGATTTAAAATTGATAAAGGAGACGTGATTCAGCTGGAATGGTGAAATATAGTTACTTCTAAAGGTGAGGTGGCGAGGCATGCAGTCATGGCCATGCAGTCAGTGTAATGAAAAGAAGGTGATTTGATTAAGAATTAGTTTTTTTGAAGTTAAAGAAAAGTATAGGTGAATGTCACTGTGGAAAGGTGTTCAGCCAACTGGGTTTGGATTTGCCAAGACGCAAGAAAATCGAAAGTTTGCAATGGAATGTGAGTAGTGAAATGAGTAGTAATGAAGACTAATGAACACATGTATAGATTGTCAGCACGATGCTGCCAATACAGTAGGTGATAAATGTATATTGCTAGCGAGTATGGTCTGCGCTTGATACATTTTCAAACAATCTCAGAGGGGTGGTTGCAATTTATAATATTGCCAAACTCCAGAGTGTAATTTCATTTTACTTACGTTTGGCTAGATTCATGCGTTGACAGTTGGGGGGAGGGGTTACCGACAGACTTAACTCCACGTGGTGCACCCTGGCCTGCGTACACTCATACGTCAAAAATGTCAATAAGCGGGCATTTGACTTCAGATTTCTAACCACTAAGACTTCACACTATGTCATATTTAAGCACTAACAGTACTCATTGTACCTTTTCTCTACCTTGGCGTCCGTATGTCTGTCGGTCTGTCTCTCCTACATCTGTGAATCACTCTCCTATTCGACCTGTCCAATTTTTCCCACTTTGATGTTTCTCCCCTCTGTGAAGCCCGAAGTCAGATAAGGGCTAACGATAATTATCAAAACACCTGCCTTTTGAAATAAATCTAAAATAATGATCAAATTTGTTGACAGTGTTTGTTGATGCCGGGGACTTGTATGACTTCATCATTGGCCTATCCACATAACACTAAAATAGCAGTTGAAGAGAACGACAAATATCTACAGCCATATTCGGACTTCTCAAATTTGGATACGGGTAAGAAGGACAGTTTTTGTTAAGTTAATATCGATTAATCGGGGAACGGTGCAACGTATGACTTGACATAAATTGAAACATTGAAAATGTTAACTTGAACCAAAATCAAATTACATGAATTGTTTAAATCTGATAAATGTGAGTAAATTATTCATTGCTATAGTTATTTGTCACTTCAAACAGCAAATATTTCTTATTAAAAATTTATTTGTGATTAACTCATATCAACGTATGATGTTAAGTAATGAGTTCATGGACGATTAATTTGAAGTAAGCGTAGTCGGTTTTTAATTTTAGTTTAAATAGCTATATACAATTGATAAAATGAATAACTTAGAACAAAATATTGAAATCCCTTCATCCATTATTTAGACGAAACACATCGGAGTGACAAGTATCTCGTTTCATCTGCTGGAGGAAACATACCTTAACTGAACTCAAGAAAGACTTTCGTGAGGTAAATAATTTGTTCAAATAAAGACAATTCAAAACTTCATTTGGCTGAGCTTTGTGATTTTAAATTATGAATAGGTCAAATATTGATATTTTTAACCAAAATCAATGTTGTTTCATAATTTTTCCATGATTTTGACTTTAATGCCAATTTTCCAAGTTGACATTTTATTTGAATCTTGGGATTTCAAAAGATTACACTACGACATGTCATTTCTATATTGCCTTTTACCTGGAAATTTTGATAATAAAATTGATTATTCGCATTTTTCTATTTTAATTATCCTCATTGCCACATATCTTTATTTGTCTCTTAATTCATCTTCTTGAGTTTGTAGGACACGTCATTTCGGCCATTTCCGGTCCGTCCTTCCGACACCCCCTCGTGCTAGCGATAGACCAACGCACATTTCCAAAGACCTGAACATTTCTCCTTTCGTTTTTGTTCGTGTAGACACAGTCAAGAAGTCACTCCAACCACCATACGACGGACCGTACAAGGTTCTACGGCTCGAACCAAAATTCTTCGTCTTCGACCGGAATGGTATCAAAGATTCCGTTAGCATCGACAGGTTGAAACCGGCTTATTTGGAAACTTCGACTACACCCACGTCGGATACCCCTTCGACCCCGATTACCCACCCAACTCCTTCTCACGTACCTGTTAATTCCCCAGACACCGTTTTACAACCCGTTCCTCACCATCCCCGACCCCATTTTACACGTTGTGGCCGTAGGGTTACTTTCCCTTCTCGACTTGTGGATTTTGTACATTAGCCGAACCTAACGTTCCGAGGTTATCTCCTTTTCCACTCATACCTGCTCCCGCTCCCGCCTTTCCAATGTTGTTTATTGACTGTTTTTTTTCGAGCGTTTTCTTCCTTTTTTTCTAGGCACCCGCAAACGCTCTAGGGGGGAGTTATGTAGGACACGTCATCGCTTAGTTAACATCACGTTCAAACTTGCGTACGGATCAGGTTCGGCGACCTCACTGACATTAACCAATCAGAGACGCCCATTTGTTTTACCGGATTCGCCATGTTGATAATGACTAAGTTCCTTCCTTTTACACACGACTGACGTGCTACGTAGTAAATAAACGTATCCCTTCTCGCTCGCCTTTTTCCTCCATAGCTTTACAATAGCAGCTAGTTTGGGAGGCTCATCGATAGTAGAGATAACCGAGTACAGTCTAGGCTTATTTGCTGCAGCAGTCCGCTACAAGTTTATTTACGCAAAAGTCAAAAAGCAGCACATTTTAATTGTTTTTTTTTAAAATTTATGTAGTTTATTTATAAGTACGACACTTATGAAATTGATTGAAATGTTTGCCAAATCATAATACTGTTAGTACAACGCCTCCTTTTAAATAAATTTAAGAGTACTCTCTAATCACCGGTGAGGTACAAGATATTACATGTCGGCATTAATAGCATCCAGATGGAAGTCATAATGTTGGAAGATCAATTTAGCAGTGAAAACGTATTTCAAGCAATTGACACTTGGTGTTAGGTAGCTGCTAAATAAACGAAAAGCACCACAGTCAACCCGGTTCCGGCAAGGCCACAATCCAATAATGCAATACGATTGGAATAAAGTAGCATCTTTAGCAATTTGTTCAAAATGCAAAAGCTTGCAAACTTGAGATTACATTAATTTTTTAAAAAGACGTCAGAATTAACGATTTGACAGTTTTGAAAAATTGTAAACGATATTAAAAAGTTTGAAAACGTAGAAATAAATGACATATAGCTTCATTGATTTCCTAGTTAAACAAATATACTTCTAAATATTCTTCATTGTTCTTAATTTTATTAAAAATAAGTCGAAACACCAGTCTGTCACTGTTCTATTGCCTAAATTTGGAGTCGTAGTATGATAGCAATTTCGTTTTCAGCTATTACTTCCATTGGCATTTATGTAGCTAATTTCGATTAACTTTAAAAGTTAACTCATCCAAATTAACAATCAATCATGATGGAGCAAAGAGCTACTTAACAACTTAAGTAGATTTGATTTATTCAGGAGCATATGTGCATGAAGAGGCCAAATTATCCATTAAAAATGGCAAATTAAAAATGAATAAACTAAAATTAACACAAAATGCTGAAGCAATTATGTAAACTTAAATTGTCGCATATCAATCATCCATTGTAGTTTAGTTTTATTCAGTTTTTATTTCGTCAACCTTGTCAATTATCTTTAAAAAATAGTTGAATGTTGGCTTGTCAAAATTTCTTGCATGCAGCCTCATCTCAATTTGGCTGTCAAAATGCCACAAGAGATAAGCTAAGTGTGTGCAATAACATGTCAATGACGACATGGTGATTCCTTCTTTTGGCGAGTTGACTGAATTTGCTTGTATTTGAAGACTAACTGAACAATAATCCACCAGACCCATCATTGGATTAAAAACAATTGATTACGACCTTTCTTGGCCTAATTGGCAGCCAAGGCGAATTAAGACTGCAAGCTGGAAAATATGGCTTTTACCGTTAAACAATATTTTTCAATCAATAATGTGTCGATTTCCTTGAATTCTAAAAGTAAATATCAAATTTTACATGAATGAGTAAGTGATATCCACGCTCCAGTGAAATGCATTTCAAAGATGAAAGTCAATGCTGAAAATGAATCCCAGCTTAGTCTTTCTAAGATAACTTCCCGAAACATCAAAAATAGGAATTTAATCAAATAGCTCGTGGGCTGATAAGAATAATTGACAATATAATTCCAAGCGCAAAAGATAAACAGTACTAAGTGTTTTTAAATGACCTTTGTGAAATTCAATCAGTTGATCAAATTCAGACAATACCATGATATTTTCCTTTACACTAATTTACCTTAATACCACTTTTAATATAAACGTGAACGAAAGTAAGTTCTATTATTTCACACGTACGTGGTTTGAAATTATGCGATTTCAAGAGTCCCATAAGTGGAGAGAATTGGGAAGTGGGGGAGTTGTGAGGCACTATGAGTGACGTTTGATGGGAATATCGAGTGCATTAACGAATGAAAATGATCATAGAGGCATATGCAATTAACTTTTAGAGGTCAAATATGACACAGTTTTATAACTGAACGCAATAGGTTCTGGTAGATTTCATGTATACAAAAGTGATGAATTGGTATTTAACGTTCAAATTAAAAGCTATTCTGTTTGGTAAACTGATTTCAAGAAATTTTTTTGTGTTGCTATAAAACCAGATCCAACAACGGAGGGTATTCTGAAGGTAATAAAATGCACTATCACTACTTATTCATTTAAGTATAAATGAATATCATATATTTAAAAATATAACCAATCATCCTTTTTTGATTCAAAAAGCTAAATTTTAAAGCGATGCTTGGTTGTCGAAAAATCGATTAGTTTTTTAAAAAAATCTTACTATTTTGTAAATATTGACTAGCTCAAATGGCACATTATGCTTCAAGTGAGGATTTTGGGAGCATAATTTTTGGTAGCAGCGGAGATTTGATGTTATGATCATTCAATTTCGGGAGTGCAGCCTTGAAATTAATAGGCTGCCGAATAAGCATCCAATAAAGTGCTCTCTCTCAAAGACATAATTAGGGTTAAGGATGTTTTCGCTTGAACCTGTTTGCATTTGGTTATCACATCAATGACCACACTTCACAGAGGGGAAGGAACATCAAATTGAGAAAAGTCGAGAGGGAGGGGGGTGGATGGAAACAGAATGGTGTTTCAAAGATGTGTTGCATCTTACTGTTTGGATACTTCAGAAAAGCAAACACTTCTTCAGAATAATTGCGCTCACTGGCCGATAGGGGCAATCAATGTGAACTGTCATGCAGATCAATGGCTCGAAATCTTCACTGATGAGGAAACCATCAAACCTTAGTGCATATTCTTCCTCTCAACTATTCGCTTTCTTTGCAGCTGCAAGACATTATAGATCAGCCTTCAAAGGGGAAATTGGGGCCATTGAAAAAATTCTAAGTAAATTATGTTGCCTCGATAAGAAATTCACTAAACAAAGTGATTCCCGCGTCCAAATTGTCAGCAATAATCTTAAATGGAAGCAAATAGCCACCCGAAACAGCTGAAATACACGAAAGCAAAAATCCGTATCAGTTGCTGAGAGTAAAAAAAAACAATGCTCTGAAAATGGATTCCTGGTCACTGTGGAATTAAAGGCAATGAGCTTGTTGACGTACATGCTACGAAGGGACAGCATTTAAGCAAAGCATAGATCAGCTGATATTTTTCACTTCATAAAGACCTTAATCAAGAGAGAATTCAAAGTGACACTAACTTTAAGCTTGACCAAAGGAGAAATAGTAGCCAGTAGCGCCATCCAACTTAAAAACTGGCCAAGAATCGAATCTATTGCTGAATTAAAACTACGTACCAGGCAAGATTTCCTGCCAAAGCACCTTCATTGATTAGAAGTAATCAATCAACTAACATGGAGAAGACCTAGCTTATTTGGTGTTCGGCTTTAAAGATAATGGCAAAAACTCAAAGATACTGGAAAGCCGGAAAACTGCAAATGAACTGTTATATATGTACCCAGCCTCCTTTTGGAAAGCTGAAATCAACCCGGTTTCAGCAAGGCCACAATCCATTAATGCATTACAATTGGAATAAAGTATCATCTTTGGCAATATGTTCAAAAAGCAAAAGCTAGCAAACTTGACAATACATTGTTTTTTTGGTATGTCATCAGTATTAACGATTTCACAGTTTCGAAAAATTGTAAACGATATTAAAAGAGTTTGAAAACGTAGAAATAAATGAATTTTAACATCATGAATTCTCCTGTTAAACAAATTACCTTCTAAATATTCTTTATTTTTTCTTAATTTCCATAACAAATAAGTCGAAACACCAGTCTGTCACTGTTCTATAGGCTAAATTTTGAGTCGGAGTATGATAGCAATTTCGTTTTTAGCTATTACTTCCATAGGCATTTATGTACCTAATTTCAATTAACTTTAAAATTCAAGTCATCCAAATTAACTATCAATCAGGAGGGAGCGAAGATCTACTTAACCACTAAAGTAGACTTGATTTATTCACGAGCATATGTGCACGAAGTGGCCAAATTATCTATAAAATGGCAAACAAAAAATGAATAAACTTAAATTAAAACAAAATGCCGAAGCAATTATGTAAACTTAAATTGTCGCATATCAACAATCCATTGTAATTTAATTTTATTCAGTTTTTATTTTGTCAACCTCGTCAATTATCTTTGAAAATAATTGAATGTAGGCTTGTCAAAATTTCTTGCAGCAACCTTATCTCTATTTGGCTGCCGAAATTCCACAAGAGATATGTTAAGGGTGTGCAATAAAAAGCTAATGATGACATGGTGATTCCTTTTTTTGGCGATCGGATTGAATTTGCTTGTATTTGAAGACTAACTGAACATTAATCCACCAGACACATCATTCGATTAAAAACAATTGATTACAACTTTTCTTGGCCTAATTGGCACCCAAGACAAATTAAGGCTGCAAGCTAAAAAATATGGCTTTTGACCGTTAAACAATATTTTTTCCAATCAAAAATGTGCAGATTTCCTTGAATTCTAAAAGTAAAAATCTAAGTTTACTTGAATGAGTAAGTAATATCCACGCGCCAGTGAAATGCATTTCAATGATGAAAGTCAATGCAGAAAATGAATTCCAGATTCGTCTTTCCAAGATAACTTTCCGAACCATCGAATGTATGAATTTAAACAAAAAATTGTTCGTAAGGTGATAAGAATAATTGAAATATAATTCCAAGTACAAATAATAAACAT